ACATAGGAGTAAAAAGAAGGCCATTCAGCTCACCAAGTCTGCACTGCTAGTTACTCTCTTACTTTTAATATGCTTGTAAAAGCTCTTCGAATTGTCAGAGTTTTCCAACAAGCAGCTATCATCATTGGATTGCTGTTTCACTTGAACTTTCACATGCCATTAACACTGATTGGCATGTTATGCCGCATCTGCTGACCCTGGACTTCCTAGAAATGCGGAGCACTGCATCCAAAGGGTAATTCTGTTGCAGTGCTGTAAAATAAGGTGCAAGATCCTTTTTATTTCACATTACTACCTGCATATGCTAAGTTCAGATGTCCAGTGTCCACTTTAAATGATTAAATGAATTGGTGAATGTTGATAAATGGGTGCAGGGATAATTGATTGACAGGTTTATGTGGTAGGATGGCATGCGGGCAAGGTGGGAGGTTAGTGAGGTAATAGGTGGGTGGAATGGTTTGGGTTGAGAATGGTGGAAGGGTTGGATGAGGTCTGGAAGGGTAGTCAGCTCAGAAGCTAGGCTGACTCTATTTTGGGTTTAGTCAATGGTCAGTCACATAGTTAGGTGGTCAGGGTATAGTGGGTGGTTGAGGTGGATGTTGTGGGGGTTGAGGGTACGGTCTGATGGTTAAAATGAGTGGATGTCATGTCATTTTTGCATTAGACTTTGTCTAACACCCCCCGGCTAACTATTCAGCTAAGTCTGACTGAGCTTCCTGGAGTCTCTGACTCATGTTCAGTTGGACACTTTCATGAAAGATCCTTTAAACTAAGGGAATTACCCAACAGTAACTCAAACTTCTTGGGAAATTACCATGCAGTTGGCAGCATATTAAGACCAGAGACCAAGGATGTACTGGCGCAGGAGGAGGTGCAGAGGAGGTTCACTAGGTTGATTCTGGAGTTGAGAGGGTTGGCTTATGAGGAGAGATTGAGTAGACTGGGACTAGTTTTATCAAAATTTAGAAGAATGAGGGGGAATCTTATAGAAACATGCAAAATTATGAAGGGAATAGAGAAGATAGCAGCAGGAAGGTTGATTCCATTGGCGGGTTAAACTAGAACCAGGGGACATAGCCTTGAAATAAGGGGGGCCAGATTTAGGGCTGAGTTGAGGAGAAACTTCTTCATCCAAAGGGTTGTGAATCTGTGGAATTCCCTGCCAAAGTGAAGCAGATGAGGCTACCTCATTAAATGTTTTTAAGGCAAAGATAGATTTTTGAACAGTAAAAGAATTAAGGGTTATGGTGAGCAGGCGGGTAAGTGAAGTTGAGAAAGATCAGCCATGATCTTGTTGAATGGCAGAGCAGGCTCGAGGGGCCAGATGGCCTACTCCTGCTCCTATTTTTTATGTTCTTATAACCAGAAGATGTGGGCCAATCTGTTCTATATGCTTAGCTAGTTTACTCTCATTTCCATTTTTCTCTACTTTATCAACTTTTTGATTTTGCTGGTTTCTAAAACATTCCAAATCCTCATACATGCTGCATTCTTTTCATCTTAATGCTACCCTTAAACTTCTAAAGTAAACCAAGGACAGATCTTTCATACTGACATTTTGCTTTGCAATGGGCTGTGTTTTTGTCGAACTTATTAAATTGTTGTTGTAAAGAATTCCCACTGCTTATTTATCACATCCATTTCACTTTATTTAGCTCTCCCCTCTAACCTATGTAATTGACTTTAAGATTCTCGATTGTGCTTGGAGTATGTCACTTTTGAACTTGATATTAAATTCAGACATTATAATCGCTATCTCTGGGTGGATCTTTTGCAATGTAATTCCTAATGACCTCTGCCATATTAAGCAATACTGAATTTAAAATAACTCTACCCCCAGTTGAGCTCAGAACCTATTGCTCAAGGAAACTGTCGCAAACTCATCTTTCAAGTCACCGTTGACAACTTGCTTGCTCCCACCTGAGGATTAAAGTCCCCCACAATTATTATGTTGCCTTTGTCACAAACTTCAATAACTTCTTGTTGAATGCTCCAGTGCATGCCATGAGTGCTGTTAAGGCCTATAACCTAATTCCATCTGAAGCTTCTGATTCTTACTGTTCCTAATTTCCCCAGTCTGATTCTAATTCAGGCCAAGATTCTTTCTCCCAAATGTCCATATATCATTCTTCACTACAATAACTACCCCTCCTCCTTTGCCTCCTTTTTTTTGAATTGAACATACTCTGATAATGTTATTTCCAAAACTTGGTCACCTTGTAATAATAGGGAGATTGCATTTAAACCTACAATCTAATCTCTATTTGTGTCATTAGTTTATCAATCTTTGTTGCACATGTCTTGATCATTCAGATTTAATTTTTTTAATACTGTTGTTTGCACATTACTCTTTGTCCCTTCCCGCCCCACTGCTTGTCCTTAACCCGCACTGTTCTTTGCCTCTACTTCTCTTTTTGGATGAGTAAATCTCCCTTTGAACACTGACCCACCCCACTCCCCACCCAGTTTTAGCTTAAAGCTCTGTACACTGCCTTGACTATTCAATTTACCAGGACCCAGTTCGTTTAAAGTGGAATGCTAAATAAAAACCGAAAGAGCTGTGGATGCTGTAAATCAGGAACAAAAACAGAAGGGTCTGTTCTGACGAAGGGTCACTGGACCCGAAACATTAACTCTGATGTTTTCTTCACAGATGCTGCCAGACGTGCTAAGCTTTTCCAGCAACTTCTGTCTTTGTTCAGTTAAAGTGGAGCCCATCCCAACTTTTGCTCCTGAGACTGGTGATAGTGCGTAATTCGAAATTCCTCCATCCCCATCACATTGGTAGACATTCTCCAATCTGTTTGATTTTATGTCATTTGATTTATGGCTCAGGTAAAAATCCAGAGACAATCATTTCTGAGGCTCTGTATTTTAATCTGGACTCCAACTCCTTACACTCTCTCAGCAGATCATCATTCCTAGCTCTATTTATAACATTGGTTCTTATATGACTCACAGTAACTGGCTTTACCCCCTCTCCCACCCATCCAACTCCCAGTTCGTTTCCAGCTACAGGGACATGTCCCTAACCCTGGCACCGGATAGAGTTTAGAATTCCAAATTGTGGCTGCAGGGAGCAGTGTCTTTCCTCCCTAATTGCACCTTCACCTATCATGAACTGCCGCATGTATTTGTGTAAGATAACAAGGTGTAGAGCTGGATGAACACAGCAGGCCAAGCAGCATCAGAGGAGCAGAAGGCTGACGTTTCGGGCCTAGACCCTTCTTCAGAAAAGACCCTTTTTCTGAAGAA